CATATCATATATTTTACTCTATTTTATTCTCGTGGAACAGAAAACTTTATTACTTTCTGATTGGGGTGCAAACCGAGTGGTACTATTTGCGCAATCCCCCAAACAATCAATCAATGTGCGTTATTGCAGATAATTTGCAGCTGCCCCTTCGTACTTAATGTTTAATCCAGTACCAAAATTAGTTATTTGAAAGACCATAGTCATTTAGAGACGCATTGGGGGAGAGGCAATTAAAAGTGTATTGTATGAGTTAATTATATGTAATTAAAAGTTGATGAGCGCTAAAAGTACTGTGTAATATGATTGCAGGAACTTGGCCCAGAAATGTTCTTGACATGAGCAAGAGAAGTCTATGGAGTCATTTTACCAAAAAGAATAGGTGAGTAGTTGACATGACATTAACTGCCAACGCTGGTCCAATATGTCTCCACTAAGAGGAGCTTCCTTTCGTGTGCATCAAAGGGGTGGTATTCGATGTTTTTTGTGGTGCCCTGGTTCTTTGTTGTCGATTTCAATCCTCTGTCAAAATCCAGGCTTATTTGTTATCACTGAAATTGTCTTTTAAAAATCTTGGCAATTTGGAAAATTGCTGGAATTGGTTTGGATTGGTGGGACAGACTCCCTTTTCACATGCTCTGTCTAAATATCATGGTGCAGACCCACTACAGCAGAGATCTTAGCCAGTGCGCCTTAGGTAGCCTATCCGCCCTTTAGTTAGAGAGACCAGCTCTTATAAAACTCAAGTTGCTGTGGACAGGGTGGTTTCTGACAGAAGCAAAGGTAGTTTCGTGGTGCCTAGTTCACTCCTGTCGATTCGAATACTCCTCCATCGAGATCCGGACCCCTTTGTAAGTTTTGCCAAAAATGAAAAAAAATTGAAAACCGCTGGAAATGTCGAAATGTCGAAATTTCGCGCCGCCAGTCCATTTCAAGTGAGTTGCGCCTGTTTTTCTTGGACCGGTTCGCCTGCGAGGTAGGCAGCCCATCGTACGCTACCCGCCAGATTCGAAAGACCTC